AGAGGCCTAGGGTTCAAACAACTGACTGAGGAAGAGGAAAACGTGAAGCGACGGAGAGGGTTTTGCTTCAGCTGTGATGAGAGGTTTTCGCCGGGCCATGTTTGTCGCAATAAGCAGCTCCACATCATTCTGTTGGGGGACGAAGATGCAACCCAGGGCAATGTCCCTAAGGAGGATGAAGCAGAGGAGGTAAATCTTCAACTAAACGCAAGTAGTATTGCTGGTATGACTTCAAAGAATTCGTTGAAATTATGGGACTAATCTCGGGTAAGAGGGTAATTGTGATGGTGGACTCGGGGACATCACATAACTTCCTATCTCCAGATTTGGTGGAAGAGTTAAATATTCCCACAGAGGCCACGAAGGGATATTTCATTGAAGTGGGAGATGGGCAAAGGTTGGGAAGCCACGGGGTTTGCAGGGGGGTGGTGTTGGAGTTACCCAATTTACAAGTAATTCAAGACTTTTTCTTGTTTGACTTGGTGGGGGTGGATGTGGTTCTGGGGTATGAATGGCTCAAGAGTTTAGGGAAATTTAGTGCTGACCTGTGACAGCACTTGATTGAGGTGCACAAGGATGGGAAAACTATTGAGGTGAAAGGGGACGTGGGACTATCACAAACAGTGGCTTCATTAAAGGCCATTAGAAAGGAGTTAAAAAGGGAGGCTGAGGCTTATTATGTAGAATTGGACATGATCACATTAGGATGGACAGAGTTACCTACTCAGGTGGCGACGACAGCTCCAGAGGCTATGAGGGAGCTATTGAGGGAGTTCGGCGAGTTGTTTAAGGAGGGCACCACTCTCCCACCCCCAAGGGAATGTGACCACGCCATAGTTTTGAAAGAGGGGGCTATCATTCCTAACATTCGTCCTTATCGGCATCCTCATTGCCACAAGGAAGAGATTGAAAAATTTGTAAAGGATATGCTAGCAGCAAGCTTAGTACCAGCCCCTATTCTAGCCCACTGATTCTTGTTAAGAAAAATGATGGTAATTGGCGCTTCTGTGTGGATTACCGCGCCCTTAACAGTATCACAGTTCCAAACAAGTTCCCCATTCCGGTCACTGAAGAACTGTTGGATAAGTTGGGAGGGGCCACAGTCTTCTCTAAACTGGATTTGAAGTCAGGCTACCACCAAATTCGCATGAGGACAAAGGACATACCTAAAACAGCCTTTCGGACGCATGAAGGACACTACGAGTATGTGGTAATGCCCTTCGGGTTAACCAATGTCCCCTCAACGTTTCAATCATTGATGAATGAGATTTTTAAATCTTATTTACATAAATTCGTTTTTGTCTTTTTTGATGATATTTTAGTGTATAGCCCAGATTACTCTTCCCATATTGATCACTTAGGTGTAGTTCTTCTTTTGCTAAGAAACCAAGAGCTGTGGATCAATGGTAAGAAGTGCAGTTTTGGAGAGTCTCAGCTAGAGTATCTTGGGCACATAATATCCTCAGCTGGAATCTCTACTGACCCTGCAAAGATTTCTGCTATGGCATGGTGGCCAACACCCAAGGACATTCGCAGTTTGAGGGGATTCCTGGGGTTAACCGAATACTACTGCCGCTTTGTTCAAAATTATGGTGTTATTGTTAATCCTTTCACTCAGTTATTGAAGAAGAATAGTTTCAAATGGACAGAAGAGGCACAAATTGCATTTGACCAGCTTAAGAGGGAGATGGAGGTTCTACCCACTTTAGCCATGCCAAACTTTGACCTATCATTTGTGATCGAGACTGACGCCTCAGGGTATGGAGTCGGGACAGTTTTAATGCAACAAGGCTGACCCTTAGCATTTATTAGTCAAGCTTTATTAGACCGAAACAAGTGAAATCTGCTTATGAACGTGAGCTAATGGCAATTGTGTTTGCTATTCAAAAATGGAGCCAATGCCTGTTGGGCAATCTCTTTATTATCCGAATTGATCAAAAGAGTTTGAAGTTCCTCTTGGAGCAACGTGTTTTGGCGGGGGAACAGCTAAAGTGAGTAACCAAGCTAATAGGTTTCAACTTTGAAATTCACTACAAATTGGGGCTAGAAAATAAGACAGCTGATGCGTTGTCTGGGGTGATGAGTTATAATGCCATATCTATGGTGACTAATGCCGACCTAGTCAACTTGGCTGAGGAGGTCCTTGGAGATGAAGTGTTGAAGGGAATCATGCAGCAATTAGTGTCTCACCCTAATTCCCATCCACATTATGCAATTTCTCAAGGGTGCTTGTGGTATAAGCAGCGGCTAGTCCTTCCTAAGGAGTCTGCCCGTATACCATTATTGTTGGCAGAATTCCATGCCTCACCTTGGGGGGGCCATTGTGGAGTGACAAGGACTTACAAGAGGTTGGCCATGGTCTTCTATTGGACGGGGATGAAGCAAGATCAGGATGTGGAAAAATTCGTCGCCAGCCGTCAGATTTGTCAACTAAGCAAACACGAAACCTTGAAATCTGCAGGTTTACTTCAGCCCTTGCCCATTCCTATGCATGTGTGGGAAGACATCTCGATGGATTTTATTGGAGGAATTCCCAAGGCTAAGGGAGCTGACAGCATTATGGTGGTGGTCGATAGGCTAAGCAAATACGCCCATTTCATTCCCTTACTTCACCCATATTCAGTTAAGGAGTCGCCACAGTGTTTGTAAAAGAAATAGTTCGTTTGCATGGTTTTCCTGCATCCATAGTTTCAGATCAAGATCGAATCTTCATCAGTTCATTTTGGAAGGAATTATTTCGTCTCTTGGGCACCAAGCTGAAATTCAGTTCGACTTACCATCCTCAAACGGATGGCCAAACCGAAGTCACCAATTGCACCATTGAAGCCTATTTGAGATGTTTTGCGAGGGATCATCCACGCCAATGGGCGCATTGGCTGCCATGGGGGGAATTTTGGTTTAATTCTTCATTCAACGCTTCTATTAAGATGACCCCCTTTCAAGGCACTTTATGGCCGAGACCCTCCTATGATTGTCCCTTACTGTTGGGTAGTACTGTGGTGGCGGAGGTGGACCAATTATTGCTGTTGCGGGACAGCATCATAGAGGAGCTTAAACAACATTTACTTAGAGCACAGTTGAGGATGAAAGGACAGGCGGATAAGGGGCGGCGAGAAGTGGAATATCAAATTGGGGACATGGTGTACTTGAAGGCTCGACCATATAGGTTGAAATCATTGGCAAAGAGAGTAAATGAAAAACTGAGCCCCAGATTTTATGGCCCCTTTTGTGTGAGAAAAAATAGGAGCTGTTGCTTATAAGTTATCGCTACCAGAATCATCACGAGTGCATCCTATTTTCCATGTTTTCCAGCTTAAGAGGGGCCCGCCTACTAGTCGACCAAGTCAAGCACTGCCCCCATTTTTAACAGAAGAATTTGAGCTCTAAGTTGAGCCTGAAGGGGTGCTGGATGCCCGGAAACTCATGAATGGGTGTTGGGAGGTTCTGATTAAAAGGAAGCTGTTAGGGAAGATTCTAACGGAATAACAAACTGAATGACATGGAGGAGGGAGGGAGCGGCTAAGGAAGGGTTATAAGGTAGTTGATCAGAGTGAAGAGGTAGGAAATATCTGGGAAGTGATTGGGAAGGGCTGTTGCCTTAGGAGAAGTTCCATTTAATCATTATTACCTTTCTGCTATTTCATTTTTCTGCTGTACTACCAGGTTATTCCCAGAGGTTTTGGTGTTAATTCCATAAATACATTCAGTTCCTATCAGAGTTCCAAGACAATATACAGTTGTCATAACAGATTTTGTAACCAACTAATAACTAAGCTGTGAGATTAGTTCTACCTTGAAACAAAATTCCAGAAAAGAGAAAAACTAATAATACAATAGAAATACAAAACTAATAGTGTAGCAGAAGATGAAAATATGAATAGAAGCAGAGAAGACAACATATCAGAAAACCCAAAACTGTTTATTTTATATTTATTTTGTATTCAATTATGTTTTGAACTGTGGGTTAAACTACTTATGTTTTGAGTTCATTCCTTTCTTTCATTTCCAATGACCTATATATAATATTTTTTATATATTTTATTATATCTGCCATAACTCACCATGGCAGCTGCAATAATTTTATGGCAGCTTTTTGGGTTTCTGCCATGACCTGCCATCCACCATTGATAACCTTGACCAACACTCATCTTTGGCAATATTTCCAACTGTTACCCAAACTCAGACACAGTACTTGCATGTTTTGCATAAGACCTATGACTTTTTTATCTTTAATTATAAATATGTCCAGAAATTTGAGTAATTTTTTAAATTTCTGAATATTTATAGAAAACGTTTCTGAGTAGCAGCCGTCCTGCTATGGTGCTTTTGGGGTTTGCCACTACACTTTACTGTCTGAGATTGAGTACAATGGGGGATATACTTTTTGTTGTCTAAGTTTTGGTATCTCCTTGTGTGCTTTTCATTTTAGAGCATTGTTCTATTTTAGATTCTTTGTTAAGTGTGTATTATCGAGATCCAATTCATTTTGCCTCACTAATTGGGGGAAACAATCAAAACATGGCATCTGCCTCACCTCAATTTTTTTTATTATTAATGATGTATTTTCTCTTCGAGGAAGAATATTGATATCCCATGTTAGTCACATTTGTTGGGAAAAGAGATGACTGTCGAACAGCAGCAATTTAAAATTTAAATGATTAATTAGACTAATGGCACAGTTTGTAGATGTTGAATAATGAAAACCACTAGTGGACAAAGGTGTTTGTATTTTTGTTGTTGAAATTCCGTACATCATCTTTTGGCCAATTTATTGGTTGACATAATTTGAATTTTCCCAGCATGTATTGATGTACTTGATTAATGGATGCTGTATGCAGTGGTGTGCACAGTACATGTTATTTTCCTGCTCTTGTTCGTCATGGCATTAATTATGTACGCTCTAATGTATTCTCTCTTTTCTCCTTTAGTTGGGTATTAACTTTGGCACGTTGTCCTTTTGTTCATCAAATTATGCGTTGTAAAATGTTCATTTCCTTCAGCGGTCTTTGGTGGAGATGATGTGCAGTTTCTTTGTTGCATCCTGGACTGGGGTTGTTAAGTATCATGGACCAAGGCCTAGCAGGCGACCAAAGCAGGTTTATTAAAAATTTACATATTCAACTGTAAATGTTATTTATTATTAATTTGAGCTTCCTCTTCATTTGTTGAGCAGGTTTTTGTGGCCAACCATACGTCCATGATTGATTTCATTATCTTGGAACAGATGACTGCTTTTGCTGTTATTATGCAGAAGCATCCTGGATGGGTTGGTAAGCATAAAGAGCTGTCGTCTCATCTGTCAGAAATATAATACATAAAAATTATGTTTTAATCAATCCACAACAAGCTTTATGTTCTATGTATATGAGATTAACACATAGGTTCTAACCACTAAGAGAATGTGAATAGTTCACCAAAACATGAGGGAAAAAAAAAAGGGTTAGATTTAAGCCCTTTAGCTGTTTGGCAGTCTAAATTGTCTGGAAGAATAGGTATGTGAATTTGAAGAACAATTAGAGATGATTTATACAAACTTATAGCATGGTAATCTTGAATGGATATCATAATTTGTCTAAAAACAATATATTCTTAATTTTTAAAAAAAAATTAGCTACTGTGCAGGATTATTGCAGAGTACCATTTTAGAGAGCCTAGGATGCATCTGGTTCAATCGTACAGAGGCAAAGGATCGGGAAATTGTAGCAAGGAAGTGAGTATAAATAAAGAAGTTAGAAAATCTATCTTGGATCTATTTCCATTTTTACTTGTACAATTTTTTCTTTTCTTTGTTTCAGATTGAGGGAACATGTTCAGGGAGCTGACAACAACCCTCTTCTCATATTTCCTGAAGGAACTTGTGTAAATAATCACTATACTGTCATGTTCAAGAAGGTCTGTGACCCTGAATTATTTCAATTTCTGTCAATGTAAAACGCTGTAATTTTCTCCCATCTTATTTGCGGAATAGTTTTTTTATTTTGTACCCAGTGACTTCTATTCCTGTGTCCGCACTCAGGAAACTTTTATTAATTATTTCTAATTTTAAATTGTACTTAGGGTGCATTTGAACTTGGCTGCACAGTTTGCCCAGTTGCAATCAAGTACAACAAAATTTTTGTAGATGCTTTTTGGAATAGTCGAAAGTAAGATTTTTCTCATCTTTAGATGTTTCTACAGTGCTATCTGTTGCTATGATAGAGACATTGCATTTCATGCATTCGCAGGCAATCATTCACTATGCATCTGTTGCAGCTAATGACATCTTGGGCTGTTGTTTGTGATGTTTGGTACTTGGAGCCTCAAAATTTGAAACCAGGAGAGACGCCCATTGAGTTTGCTGAGAGGTAAATAATCTTGACCCTGATTGTATGCTGAGAGATCTGTGTTTGGCTTTCTTTAAGTGTTGTAATAATATCTATTATTTTTTTAATTATGCAGGGTGAGAGACATTATCTCAGTTCGTGCTGGCCTTAAAAAGGTTCCTTGGGATGGATATCTGAAGTATTCTCGTCCTAGCCCAAAGCATAGAGAGAGAAAGTAAGTTCAATTTCCTGATCTATTGGTGTGTCCGATGTGCTGTCATAAGAACTGTGACATTGGTGATATTGGAATTACAATGTTTGTGTTTTGGTTTCTTAGCAGTGTGGTGAATCGTATGATTTGTCAATATTGTTGTTTGGCTGAACAAACTTGTTAGATGTGTTAAACATGTTACTTGGAGTCTTTCAATTTTCCTCCAAATATAGTGATGGCTTTAAGCTGGAAATTTTTTTACATTACAAATAGGATTCGTTAAATACTAATACATATAATTCTGTTTGTTTGAATTTACATGTACCAGTCAACTTGCGTTAGATTTAAAAAAAAAAAAAAAACATTAGATCTCTGCCGTTACTTAATTTGTTGGTTTTCATGCATTTGTAGGCAACAAAACTTTGCCGAGTCAGTGCTGCGGCGATTGGAGGAAAAGTGATGTGTCCCTTTTTGTATAGAATTCCTTGCTATGCTATTCTCCACCGATAGTCGGTTTCTTCTACAAACTAATAGGTGGTAGAATTTTAAGGATGAAAAAATTTGCTGGAGTTTCAAATCAGAATCATAGCTTAAATTGATATTATTTTCTTTTTATTTTTTAATCAAATCAATGTTTTTTTGTAATAGAAAATCACTTCATGTTTCTAGGACTAAATTAATTTACATTAAAACTAATTGTTAAGCTAATAATGTGGAACCAAAATGATAGTTTTGCATAATTTGATTCGTCTGTCATACCAGTAATTCTTGCAAGTTTCTGCCAGGCTTCGAAGTTCATATTTTATGTATAATTTAAAAAATTACGAATAATTTATGGAAAATATGTTCTATTAATCCGAATTTAAAATATGACGAGCCACAACTAGCCATTTAGAAGCAATGACTGTTACTTTCTAGTTCATTAAAAATTCTCAATCTTCACATGGAAAAATAATCTCCAGTAATTTAGAGGACCAAGTGGGAGGTCTGAAACCAGATTGAGTTGGGTGTTAGCCTGCCATGAAACCAATTCACTATATAATGCAAGCCTCATCCACCATGTTAGAGGAAGTGAAAACATTTACTAGCTTCTGGGAAAGGTTCAATCATAATATCAGTGTCTATAATTTACTTTAAATTGGATAATGGTTTCTATACTTTAAAAGGATTGGTTTAGTCTTCATAGATTTTGTTTTAGGTTCCAACCACTAACAATTTGTCACTACATTTCTGCGAGTTACCAAGACCAAAGTTACTAATATTGTAGGAACCAAAACATAAAATAAATAAGAACTCTACAAGAATAAAAAAACATATTTAAATCAAATAGACAATTCAGAAGGCTATATACACTATTTCTCATCCAATGCTTAATAATAATAATGATGATGACGATGACGACGACGACGATTAATTATCATCAATTCTAAAATGTTAATCAGAAAATAACCTTCTCTTGAAGGAGTGACCATTAACTTGCATAAAAGAAGCGCATCCGATGTTGAGAGTTTCATCTCGTGTAAGTGAAAATGGATCTATCCTGGCCTTGTGGGCTGCAGTAACTAGGACGGTTTCCTAATAGCTTGAGACATACAGCTGCAAAGTTGGTAATTTATCAACCAAAATGCTCTCATTTCAATAGCAATAGAAGAAAAATGAAGTAATGCTCAGATGGCACCTCTATTATTTTACAATTTTTCTTTTTAGTCTAAACCCATTACATTCCTCAGTGAGAAAATTGCAAATATAATAAATAAGTAGAAAAGTTGCCAACTTATTTCTTTGGATTTTGATTCAGATAGATAAAGTTCCTATCTGTTATCAGCTTCTTAAATGACAAATGTACACAAGGAAAAACCGCCTACCACTTCAAGATCAAGTTATCTGCAGTATCATCCAGAATGGTTTCATTTTCTTCCACAAAAATTATAAGTGGCTACAAGAAAATATTATCCTGTCTCACATAATGAAACAACAGTTCTATAAACAGTTTTGGTTCGACTGTTTTGTGTTCTGAGGGGAAGAAACCTAAAATGTCAACAAGCAATATAATTGTTCTTGCTGATCCAATAAAAAAAATAATATGGACAAAGAAAGTTAAAAGTTTTGCATTTGTACCTTTTGCTTTTCATTTTCTTGCAGAAGCAAGAGACGCATCCCCTCCAGAAGCACCTTTAGGAAGGATTACAGAACCCATATGTCTAGCTAATATGCAACCCCTATCCATGGATTTGGAGTCCATGAGCAAGTATTGTGGAGCATTACTTAGGTCAGCAAGCACACATGGCAGGAAGGTGTACCCAATATCTATTTGACAAGAACAAGTCATCCATAAGTACTATTACCCACTCATGCAGAGAATGAGAAGTACACAGTTTATAACGAGAACAAAATCTTTTTAAAAAATTTAATACAAGAAACATTCAAAAAGCATCTTCTAGAAGTGTTAAATCTTCATTCGTTTAATGGACACATCAATCTTCAAAAATGAAAAACGTGTTAAAAAAAAAAAATCCATAAAAAATGGCAAGGGAAAGAATGAGGTAAAGGTTAGCATAACGAATTCAAAAGTTCAGTGCAAACAAACTCTTCGCACCAAAGATATTAGAAATAACAGGTTCTCACTTCTCACACATCAGAATGAATGAAATCTAATGGAAAATTGACATATATCACAATTAAACGATTCAACATACTCTTTTTAAAACAAAGGAAACATAGTCCTTAGAATAACCAAACAGAAGATGACCCTGACATTTGTATACAAACCAAATTTATGAAATAACTAACTCTGAGTGGGATTGATGGCAAGAATTGATTTCATTTTTCTTAAGTACTGTCTTCTTTCTCGGCAAATTGAACGTAATATAACTCTCTATGTTCAGCAACTCAACTCATCCTCGCTAAGGGAAGATCTTAGAAGTCACTGTGAGATTGAAAAGAAGTCATTGCAGATATGAACGTTTCAAGTGAACTTCTGACTAGAAGTCAGTTTATTGGAGTGCTTAGGTACAATATTGTACATTGTTAGAGGTAGAACGACAAGAATAATACTATGAAGATTTTATTATTTATTTATCATATTAAATAAATGAGTATAATTTTATATTTATAATATAATTCTATATTTATAAAAGTAGTATAATGACTTTATATCAAATAGTTGGCCTATCATATCACTGAATATCAAGGGATTAGAAACAAAAAATTAATTGTCCTTCTTAAGGAACTATGATTTTTAACTCATACTGATTTACATTTACTACAATATTTTATTTTTGTAATTTATGTAACATTTTTTTATTATTATTTCTAATATTTTTCCTGAATTAAAATTTTTAAAAATTCTTTTGACACTCCAAGTCTTGCTCTCAACCTTTTGAAATCTTCAAATTTGAGTAAGTTGATAAAATAATTCGTAATTTGATTTTGAGTCTTCACATAAATTAATTTTACTTTTTTAATTAGTAATGTATTCTCTAATGAAATGATATATATTAGATCTATATGCGTACTTCATTCAAGTAACACTATATTTTTGGCAACACGTATATATATATATATATTATCGATGTGAATTTTGATACTCTCCTTTTGATTTAATCAAATTTTCGTCAACAATCTTTTAAGTCAAATAGCATGACATGTGCAAAAGGTTGCAATAACATACTTAGTCTCACAAATATAAAGTGTGACAATAGGTTGTTTTCTAGAACTCCAAGTGAAAACACAATCAGCCACGAAAAAACATGAATCATTAGTGCTCTTTCTATCATCAATATTACTCACAAAAACACTGACAATATTACAAGTTTGAAGACATTACGAATAAAAATAATTCAAAATTAATTTTACCTTTTAAATAACAAATTTTCTTTTCTTTTCTTTTCTTTTCTTTTCTTTTCTTTTTGCAACTTTTAAGTGAGTAGAGGTAAAAGTTTTGATGAAACGACTTATAACTCCAATTACATACAAAATATTAGGCCTTAAAAATATCATTCATTCAAACAGTTCTCAATACACAATTCAAGAAAGTGTTTCAAAATAAGGATGGATTACAATTTATATCAAGTCATTGCTATAGGGCTAGTTCAATTACATCAGAGTTTTCAAAGAAAATAACTTTTTAAGCCCTATAGCAGTTTCATCCATCCCTTCACTGAGTCCAGTGTTGATCGTCTTGGTCACCTAAAAAATAAATGTAAGGGTGAGTACTTTACACTATCACACACACAAATACAAGCATAGAGTCTCACCTTACTCATTCCACACATTTACTAACATAATTTAAATCATACATTAACAAATACAAAGTACTAATTCCATTCTCACTCACAAACAAGTGCGCTCACTGCACCATCAAACAATCATCATACAACACCCACGTGTACTCACTGCACGCTAGCCACGCTAACTGTGGCACTGTGATCACAGTTTCCTTATGCTCACAACCTCAATGACTTACTTAGTTCACACTATGGATGGTCGCTGGATAGCTCCCGCTCCATGAATACAACGTGTGCGGTATTAAGCCTCTAAGCAAAGGTGTTAATCAGAGGCCAAGTCAGGAGGAGAGTGCGTGGCCAGTGGTGCACCCATGCTCACTGTTGGTGTCACCACCCTTTCTTTTCCAAGGTATTTCTACCATCCTTATCTTTCACAGCCCTCGTGTATCACTGAACCATTCATAATTTCCAATCATTCTAAACATTGTCACAATCACATTTCCAACCATTCAAATTATTCGGCATCAATCAATGGCATGCAACCACATAGTCACCCACAACGCGTTCAACCATCTCATCACACATCATATTCAACATCAATCATATTGTATTCAAACACACAACATTTTCCATCACAATCCATGTCAATCAATTCATTCCATCATAAACACTATTCAACATCTATCACACTATATTCTACACAATCTTTCCATCGAAATCTCACTACAATCAAATCATTTTCATTAAGCATACATCCTCCTACATTTCAATCATTAACATTCACTACCATAACCATACTAACGAATTCTAGGCATAAAGAGATAGGGTAAAGTCTCCTTTACCTCAAATTGAAGACCCAACATGAAATCTACGACGAAAGTGCTCCCCACACAAACTTTCATCCTAAATATAGAAAAAACTTTATGTGAAATCGAGAAATCAAATAAAGGGATGAAAAACTGAAACCCTAATCCATAGAACTTACCTCCAAGCATTCCAAACACGATTTCAATCTTCAATCTAACTCCTAAATGGCTTTGGAGGCAATTTAATCGGTGAAATAGGGTTTTGAATTGAGAGAATTGAAGGGATTTCGAAGAAAAAATGGAAAATAAATTTCTCAAACCTTAAACCCTTCAAATACCCCTTTGGTCGCGATGTTCTCACCACAACGACATATCTCTCACTGCAGCGACACGCCCTCTCGCTATAGCAAAAATATCAGAGGAAACTGCACTTTGGTTTCTACAGAATCTCGCTATAGCGAGATTGCAACCCAGAAATGCATCTCTCTTTGTTGCCTTCTCGTTACAGCGAGGAACCTCTTGCTACAGTAAAAACGCAACAGAATCACCCCATTTCTCCCAAGACCTTCTCGCTACAGGGAAAACATCATAGATTCGTGCTCTATATCCAGGACCTTCTCACTATAGCGAGAACGTCCCTGCAGCATACACTTAGCCTACATTTTCTATTAATCCAAACATATCAAATCTCTCAATACACCATC